AAAAAGGCGGTGGTGGGCTGGGTGCAGTAGCTTACACCTGTAATCCCAGCATTTTGGGAGGCCGAGGAGGGTGGATTACCTGAAGTCAGGAGTTTGAGACCAGCCTGACCAACATGGAAAGACCCCATCTCTTTAAAAAAAAAAAAAGGCGGTGGCTCATGCCTGTAATCCCAGCACTTTGGGAGGCTGAGGTGGGTGGATCACAAGGTCGGGAGTTCAAGACCAGCCTGACCATCATGGTGAAAGCTGTTTCTACTAAAAATACAAAAAATAGCAGGACATGGTGGCATGTACTTGTAATTCCAGCTACTCAGGAGGCTGGGGCAGGAGAATCACTTGAACCCGGGAGGCAGAGGTTGCAGTGAGCCAAGATAGAGCCACTGCACTCCAGCCTGGGTGACAGAGGGAGACTCCGTCTCAAAAAAAAAAAAGAGTCATTTGTTCAGAATGACACAGTATTGAGGGGTCAGACCAGAACTCACGTCTTCAGGACTCTGATTTATAGAACTTGAAGCCTTTTTGCTAGGTTGAATGCTGGGAGAGAGAATTGGCATATTTGGCACAGTAGGGCCCAGGGGAACTTATTGCAGGCCTAAGCCCTCCCAAGAAATGAACCAGTGAGAATGGGGAATGGCGGTGGAGGTGGGGGAGCAGAGCCTGGTTTCACTGGGCATCAAGGAGTGCCAGGCACCAACTACTCTGTCCCTGGATAAGGCAGGCTGATGGGAAGAGGCAGCAAGGAGGGAGGATGTAGGTTGTGAAGACAGATGGCATCTCCTCTGCCATGTTCCTGCAGGCATCAGGGGCTCTCTGAAGCCTCAGTTGGGGAGTAGGAAAGGTAAGAATGGCCAGCAACCAGGTTCCAAACCCAGTGTCCTTTCTATAGGCCCAAGGCCACAGGGCACAGGTAACCCAGCCCTCTCCAAAGGAACCAGACCAAATTGAGCCATCGACTTTCTATGCCAGACCCCAGAAGACCATTCAGCCAAGAAGCAAGCCCCTACAATCTCATTCCCATCAGGTGAGGGGCCCCTGGGGCTCAGGCCCTTCTCAGCTGCCCTTTGATAGTGACATAGGTTGGTCCTTGATGTTGGGGATGTCCATGGGAGCAGAGTGCCCAGACACAAAGCTGGCACTGAAAAAAAAAAAAAAAAGATAAAGGAGTTTGAGCCTACTGGCTAAGGAGACTGCCCATAACAACAACGAAAAAAAAACGCTGGCCCTGACCTCATCATAACTGTCTCCAGCTCCCCCGTCTGCATATCCTGTCCCTTCTTCACAGGCCTTGTCACACAAAAAGAAGCACCTGGAAAGGGCAGTGCTTAAAGCGATGAGACTTCAGGGGTGGGATTTAGAGGGGATGGGGATGGAACCAAAGGCCCACCTCTCACTTCCCTGCCATCCTGGGAGATGGTGGGGAAGGCAGAACCAGGTTCAGGGGAGGGATGCTGAGGGCTCTTCAGCCTGGGCATCAGCCAACGCTGCGTCCCTCTTTAGGAGTTACAGGAATATATGGGGTTCCCCACCCAAGGAAGGAGACAGCAGGGGCCCAGGAAGTAGCAGATGATGAAGACACCCAGACAGAGGAGCCCTTGGATGAGGTAAGCTGTTGGATCAGTAAACAGTATATTGGGATGGGAGGAGTTCTGAGCTGGAAACTAGCAGCCCGGGGCCCCAGGAACAGTTCTCCCTTGTGATTGAAGGCAAAAGGATCTCCTAACTTCCCACCTTGTTAAATGAGGAGGCAGTTCCTAAATTCCAGTGTCTTCCTTTCTTGGGGTGGGGACCTCCTGGCTGAGAGCTGGAGGCTGGCCACTCTCTCACTCCATTCTGCATGGCCTTCCACTTCCTCCAGAGGGCAGCACAGATAGTGGAAGAGGCCTTGTCCCTGGAAAACCAGCCTCAGGCCCTGCTCTGCCATCTTGAGAGCCCGCAGCTCCAGAGAAGAACTGGGGACTATCACTCTGGCCACCTTTTGTCCTCAGCCTCCAGCAGCTTGTTCCTCAGGAGCCACCACCTCCCCTGGGCTCCCAGGGTACATTGCAGCCTCCTCAGCCCTCCCCGTTCTGCTCCTATACCCACAGCTCAGCCTTCCCTTCCTCTGAGCAGGGCAGCCCTGGCTGTGGGAGCTACTTCCTTATGGGATTCTCTGGCCAGAGAAAGTAGCTGACTGAACCTGGGAGAGGCCACAAACGTGGAAGCAAGTTTGTCACAATAAAATAATACTTATTAACTTCTGTTTACCACAGATTTATTGACAGCTACTACTCTCCAGGTGTTGTGCTGGGTGCTGGAGTCAGGCGGAGCTGGGGCTCACAGATGCTACCTGTTTAAGAGAGGCTGGCAGTGAGGATTTCTGCCCACCTCATGGGTGGGGCAAGCAAGGCTAATAGCTCATCTTCTGCATCTGCCACTCTGAGGCACCTTTTTCCCCTCAGTTCCACCTCTCAGTCAGCCAAGGTGCTCTGAGCCCTGGAGGCCTCCTGTTTGCTTTCTGGCTCCGTCTGTAGCTGGCCCTTTCTATAAAGCTGGGGTTCTGCAGTCCATGGAACCTGCCGCCATGATAGTCCAGATTAGGCCACAGTAATGGTGGCTGAACTGGGGGCCTGAGATGACAGTAGGAAGAGAGCTGCTGGGGCAGAAAGGTTGCGTCGAGTCTCCTGTGCTTAATTCCAGTAGCTGAACAGCACTTGAAGGTTACAAAACCCTTTCACTCTTGTTCTCTTATTGTGATCCATGAGGTAGCTGTTATCCCCACAAGAGGAGGAAGCTGAGGCCAGAGAGGGGAGGTGCTAGGTCTATCTGCTCACTGTCAGCACTTCATGGCCCAGGGGCTTCCAGGAGGCAGCAGAGCTGGTGATGGCTTCGGCCCACTCAAAGGGTAGACGGTTGCCCCTAGGTCTTACTCACTGAGCTTGTGATGCAGAGTGAGATTCCGGTGATGGTGAGCACCATGCCAGCGACTGCTCCTGGGATAATGGACAGAAATCAAGGGGTTCTGAGCTCAGCCATGCCAGTAACAGCTGGCACAGGGCTGTAGGAAGGGCTCAGATAGGGTCTGGTCCTGGGTCCCGCCCCAGCCTCTGTCCCCAGACTGTCCAGCAGAAGGGAACTCTGATGGCCACAAGGAAGCAGGACAGCTGCAGAGGAAAAGGCAGGATGGGAAGAGGCCCTGTCCTCACCCATTCCAGGGAGATGGGTTCCGGGAAGGAACTGATACAGGTATGTCGAGGTCCAAATAGCTGCGTCCCACACTCGCAGTAGCCTGACTTACGTTTTCCACCAATATCTTCTCCAAGGGCCTTCCCAACAATCAGTGTGAAGATGATGGCCAGAGAGTTACAGATGGGTACAGCTAGGGTCAGATCTGGGTGGTCAGAATGAAAAGAATCCCTGAGATGCAACAAATGCCTTTCTAAACACAAGACACTTCCATCATCATCATTTCGTATCTTTAAAAAAGGTATAACCCCATCTTCCAGATGAAGTCACCGCACATTTCAGGACTCAGACCCAAATATCCTGGCTCCACGTTCAGTGCTTCCCCAGGATTCCAGCATTCCCCAGGATTCCTGAACTCTGAGGTCTGGTACCAGCCTGGTTTGATAATGAGAATGAGGTCTTTGCACTCAAAAAGAACTTGTGAGATTTCAAGGACATCTGGACACATAGGCAGGCACCCAAATCCCAAAAGATGCAGTAGAAAGTCAAGTAACACCAAGCACAGCCACCATTTATTTTTTTTCTTTTCTTTGAGATGGAGTCTTGCTCTGTCACCCAGGCTGGACTGCAGTGCTGTGATCTTGGCTCACTACAGCCTCCGTCTTGTGGATTCAAGGGATTGTTATGCCTCAGCCTCCTGAGTAATGGGATACAGGTGCCTGCCACCATGCCGTGCTAATTTTTGCATTTTTAGTAGAGATAGGGTTTCACCATGTTGGCCAGGCTAGTCTCAAACTCCTGACCTGAGGCGATCCGCCCACCTCAGCCTCCCAAAATGCTGGGATTACAGGTGTGAGCCACTACACCCGGCCATATAGCCACCATTTTACATATTTCAATTTTCACAACACTGCAAGGAAGGGATTATCACCATTTTGCATAAAGGAAACTAAGGCAAGTTGAGCATTTAAACTGAGGTTTGTCTGACTCCAAGGTCTGCACTCTTATTGAATTAAATGGATATGGACAAAGCAGAACATTAGGTGAAGCACATTTTGCTTCTGTTTCAGCCCAAGCTCAGGCCTTATGGAGTTAAAAATAAAAGAAAGTGTCAGAAGAAAGAAGCCAGGTACCTGTTCAGGACATTGGGGTGGACCTATGGTGTGGAGAGAGGGTATCATAGCTCATGATAAGGATCTGTTCCTTAATTTTGAAGTTCCAAGGGGCTGACTGCTGATAAGCAAACTTGAAAAAGAGTAATGGAGTTGGCTGGGCGTGGTGGCTCATGCCTGTTAATCCCAGCACTTTGGGAGGTGGAGGTGGGAGGACTGCTTGAGGTCAGGAATTCCAGACCAGCCTGGCCAATATGCTAAAACCCCATCTCTACTAAAAATACAAACAATTATGGAGGAACAAAGCGGGCACCAAAAA